AATGATAAACGTTATAATGATGAAAATAAATATCACAATGATAACCGTGATAACAGTGAAATCGGTGAAAATGGTGATCACGATTTTCCTGGTGATCATTGGTGATGTTAGTTAGCACAGTCATTTAGTTGCGCAAATGGATTATCACTAACACCGGACATAAATTTTAATACATAATCTGAATATTTTCTGTATTAGAAAAATAGACAAATAATTTTAATACAAATTCTGAACATATTCTGTATTAGAAAAAAAGATTAAATTTTTTTCTCAGATGTTTCTAAATGTTTGAATAAGTCTAAACAGCAAGCTTGATCATTTTTTAGAACAAATAATGGTTATTTTCCAGACATTTTCTGATATATATGGATAGATTCAAGACATTTTCAATGATATTTTCCAGATATTTATTTTTTATAGGACTATGGAAGAATTTGATATCCATAAAAACCAAAGGTGGTAAATTTATAATCATTGAAGTAGAAAGATTGAAAGATAATATTTTGTTAATGCCATTATAATTATAAATATCTTTTCATTGTTGACCATAGCATTTTTGAATGAATTGGATTAATTAACAATAAAAAGAAAAATAAAATCATTATTTTGAGGTAGTTAAATCAGAACAAAAGATAGTTTATTAATAAGATTTATGTAGTTCAATAAGAAGGACATTAAGTTATTTGGATAATTGTAGTTCAAACCTTCCAATTAGAAAATCACATGATAAATGTATATAACAAATATTTCTTCAAGAAATATTTTTTCTTCTTTCTCTTCCAAAGTCCAAGCCTTATATAGTAATAACAGATATTTCAAATGCAATGTAAAGTTTATTAATATTTTTATTTACAATTTAAATAAAAATAAAGTTTTATAAATATAAATATTAAATAAAAAAATTAGTGCAATCTAATCGTGTCAAACCATCTTTCCCTTGTTTGGAGATTTGAGGACGTTTATGTATGAATTGTTAAAAATCATTATGGTATTTAAAAGCCACTTGCGATTTTTCCATTGTGAAGACAACCCTTTTTAGTTATGACAATGCCAAAATATTTTTTTTGTTTTGCTGAATTTTTCACCTTTTTTAGTGAAAAAATTACTTGATTGCATGATAAACCAAACAGCGTTGCAAGAAGTTATCGCAAGAGATCTGTGATAATTATTTCTTCAATCGTGATGAGAGAGGAATACATGGGTTCGTAACAACCTTTTTTAAATTGCGATAAGATTAACTAGCTATTCAAGAGGTTGGTTGATTTGTCATAGCTATAATGATCAATAAATAGAATTTAAATTTATGGTTTTCTGATTAGTTTAATACATCATTGGTTTTAAAATTATTTTCAATAATATTATGAATTCCCAAAGTCCAATGCAAATCTGGAAACATGAGGTTTATGATGTTAACAACTTCTATACATACATTTATATCGCAGTATTAATCAAAGTAAAAGATTCGAAAAATTAGACATTATTCTTTCCTTTAAGATCAAGCAGCATATAATAAAGGTCTTAAGGACAAACAAATGAAGTTTTAGAATCAAATCATTCGATATTTATTTTAACGTTTTGAAATATTATTTAATTGGTGATGGTAACACAGTGGATTTGACTTTACAATCACGATTCCTGTTTATGCAGCAAACAATTACAAATTAAGAATTCTTCGGCACCATAATATAAAAGTAAATAAAAAAAATGACGAATGTTCATATTAAATGACAATACACGATCGTTAAACAAAATATCAATTATTTTTATTTTTGATAAACGAATATATATAAGAAAAATACATAAATGTAAAAAGTCAGGTACTATTTGTTGTTTTGATATCCGATAATATCAATGATTTATCAGGGATCGAGGATAAATTTATTAATGTGCATTGCCATAGATAGTAAGTACATTTATGTATATATAAAAATCTAAATGTCATATAAATAGCTTTAGCAGATAAAAAAGCAACAAAAAAAAGAAGTCCAAGAATGAAAGGACATTATATTCAGCAATTAATACATTTCTTCAATGTATTCATAAACAGCTCCATTCTCGATAAACCATACCAACTGATCGTCCCTTCAATTGTGTGTAGATAGTCCCATTTAACCATAATATCAAACGCAACTTCATTCTACAGAAACAAAATAATACCTTTTTTTATATTTAATAAATACATTTGCTAATTTCTCATAGTGAAAATAACTAGGTGATGATTTCTCGCAATGAATTAAGCAATATGGGAGGTTTGCTATTAAAATCGAGTTACAAACATAATAAATCATATGATCCGTAACATGATTTTAATAGCTTATCTCCCATATAAGTAAAAAAACGTATTTTTTTTTTTTTTTTTTTTTTTTTTTTTGATGAAATTTAACAATTAGAAAAATAAATAGTTAATTAATAATTTATCAGCAAAGGTCATTTTCTTATGTCTCTTTTTTTTTTCTCGTTAATAATTATAATTATTCATAATAAATGACCCTTACACGCGCTCCAAGCGCAAAAAGTATGAGGTAACAAAAAAAAATATATCCAATAAATATTTTGTTTTCTAAAGTTTATCGCTTGTAACAAATTAATTCTGCATTGGCATAATTTATAGTCAGAATAATAGCACGACTACAACAAAAAATCTGAAAAGCTTCTACATTTCCAGCTACTCCTGTTATCGCATTGACAATTCCTAAACAAGAACATCTAACTAGAAACAGAAGGAAAGTAGCAGATTATAATGAACAAATTTCTGATTCATCCGAATATTTTTAGATATTATCGATGACGAAAATTCAAAGGAAATTACCATCGCGACTTTGAAAAAGGGATGGGGACGGTTCAAAAGGAGCGACTCCGAGTCGGCTCTGGAACCGATTATAAATTCAACACATTCTGGGTTTTCCTGAGTTACAAACCATTTTAACTAATTTTAAAAATCAAATCGGAACTGACTCCGAACCAGCTCCAAGAGTCAGCTCAAAATCGGATTGTCATCAAATTAAGACGAATTTATTTGATAACCAGTCAAAAAATTTTTTTAAATTGATCATCATATGATGTTCTTTTAGTATAAATTTAACTTAACTTTCAAAGTTTAATTTACTCAAAAAGAGTCGAAATAGAGCCGAAAAGGAACCGAAATGGAACAGTCCCATCCCTACTTTGAAATCGACTAATCTGAAGGTATGTGCCATGTCATGATATCATAATACTTTAGATGAATAAATCCATCCATTTTTTATTGTATAGAAGATTTTGTCGATATCTTAAACTTTGATCATAAATCGTTCGCATTAGTTTATATCAATGGGATCTCAAAATTTAAAAACTTTTATGTTGATTCACAGTCAGTATTAATCAAGAAAAAAAATACTTTATTGATAAAAGAAATGCTTGTATAATTAATAAATAAATGCTTGAACAATAAAGATAAACTGGTCATAATTTGAAAAAGTAATAATTTTTAGTTAAATTTAATCAAGGTGTTAGAAATTGGTAGGATAGTTGTTTGATTATTGATTTTTTAAATATTCAGGGTAGATTGTCGTTAAGGAATCGGGTTTATTTGGTAAACTTGTTATTTGAGTTTCATGGCAATTGATATTCGTTAAGAAGTTTGGTAATGTTGGTAAGCTTGTTATTTGAGTGTTTGAACACTGGAGTAATGTTAAGGAGTCAGGTAATGTTGGTAAGCTTGTTATTTGAGTTTTATGGCAATTGATTTTCGTTAAGGAGTTTGGTAACGTTGGTAAGCTTGTTACTTGAGTTTCATGGCAATCGAGTTCCGTTAAGGAGTTGGGTAATGTTGGTAAGCTAGTTATTTGTGTATTAAAACAATAGAGTTCCTTTAAGGAGTCAGGTAATGTTGGTAGGCTTGTTATGGAAGTATAGTTGCAATGGAGTATCTTTAAGGAGTTAGGTAATGTTGGTAAGCTTGTTATTTGCGTATTAAAACAATCGAGTTCCGTTAAGGAGTCAGGTAATGTTGGTAAGCTTATTATTTGCGTATTAAAACAATAGAGTTCCTTTAAGGAGTCAGGTAATGTTGGTAAGCTTGTTATGGGAATATAGTTGCAATAGAGTATCTTTAAGGAGTTAGGTAATGTTGGTAAGCATGTTTTTTCAGTATTATAGCAACGGAGTTCTGTTAAGGAGTTAGGTAATGTTGGTAAGCTTGTTATTTGAGTGTTACAACACCACAGTTCCGTTAAGGAGTTTGGCAATGTTGGTAAGCTTGTTATTGGAGTTTTAGAGCAACGGAGTTTCGTTAAGGAGTTAGGCAATGTTGGTAAGATTGTTATTTTAGAATGATTGCAACGGAGTTTTGTCAACTTTCGATATCTTTGCAATCCGCCGATTTTGTTCAATATTTCATCCTTATTAATAACTGTAATAGTTAAACTTTCAATTTGATCATCATAAATAATTAACGTTAATTCAAGATTACTGATTCTCTTTTCTAATTCATTAATAATTTCTTGCTTTTTTTCGGACACTACTTCTCGTTCTCTATTCTTTTCTTCTAAATTATTGATATTGGCTTTGGTTTCTTCATCTCGCTCTCTAACTTTTTCTTCTAAATGTTTGAATTGTGAACGTAACCCTTTGCTACTTTGCTCCAATTCCTTAATTTTCGTTTTCAAATCATTTAAGGATTTTTCTAAATTTTTTTTTAAAACCATTTTTTTTTTTTTTTGGATTTTGCATACAAAATTTGCCTCAGCCCTCGGTTTAATATTTCCCTTAAATAATCTAGTCTACTCGGATAACTTAAAAAAGATCTAACCGACTCTTATTTACCAAATAAAGTTAGCTGTTTTCTGAAAATCGAAAATCAATCGAGTTAGCTTCTTTTGAAATTCACAATTCTACAAAACTTTCAAAAGAACGAAAATGATGAACTAATACAATGGAGAGAAATAAGGCTATAAATTACCATTATGTAAACACCCACGATTTTCGTAGTAATTCGTTTCAATATTATGAAATAATCAATTTACTTAATAAAATTAGATGAGAAGAATAAAAGAAAAAATTGTATATAATCTCGGACGAGAGTCGATCAATTATTTTTTTGTGGCAAATAATAATTTTAATCAGTTTCTTTTGATATTCTGCGTAAAATACGTTATATTGAATAATTGGAAATAGAAATTACTGCGCCTTCTTAGGAGACTAATTAAATAACAACTTAGGGAGGCCTGAAGTAGTGCTCCGTAAGGGGTTCAGGTCGGGTTTTAAGGCATATTCGAATTCGAACCCATCCGTTAATAATTACCGGAATTACCAAAGATAATTTTAATGCCGAAAATAAATAAAGTGTCATATCAAGTTTATTTTTTTTTAAAAAAAATTATCATTTTTTTATTGTGCGCATTAACCTAATTCTTTATTTTTTTTTTACCAGGATTTAAGCACATAAGGCGCGAATTGTATTCGCCTTAAGACCACCTTTTTTGGTTGATATCAGATGGTTCCTCCAGAAAAAACTTGTTCTACTGGAAAACTTGTTGTTTTATAAAAAATGTATTAGTTAATGGATAAATTTTTTTTTTTTACCTGTAATTGTTAACCCCGCAATGCTTTTCGTTTTAGAAAAAGTTCTACTATCGGTAACGTCCTCATTATTTGTTTGTTACAAATTAAAGTCGGGTAATGTAAAACAATAAAAAAATAAATCAGATCGTCTGATCATCTGGGTCACCCGGGTCAAGCAAAAACGTGACCCTGATTCGACGGGTTTTTTAGAATTAGAAGAAAAAATTCAAGTCGGGTCAACTATCCGGGTCGACTCGATCGGCTCGGAGCACTAGTCTGAAGCATATCGACCTTCACTGCACCACATGCTGTAAAAAAATTTTGGAAGCGAACCAATTCCAAAGAGGAAAAGAGCGCAAAATTCGAAATAATAATAAGAAATCATTCGGTCACTTTGTCCAGTTGCAATCAAAAAAAAGAAAAATAATAATGAGAATTCCAAAGCCTTACCTCAGCAGATCGAACTACCCCCCGAAAAGAAAATAAAATTAGAATAATTAGTAAAAAAAGGGGAAATACGAAAAACCTACTAATCAAATATTGGAAAACTTAAAACCATTGCTGGAGCCTGAAACTTCAAAGACGAAAGAAAATAAACTAGCAAAACACTAAAAATATATTACCTAATACTTGCAGAAGTGTTCCAGGAACAACCCTAAAGAAAAAAAGACGCAAATTTTTTTAAAAAAAAGAGGCAAGAAATTAAATATTCGATCTAAACGACGAAACCAAACAAAAAAAAAAAAAAAAAAAAAATTCAAATAATCCGATCTTAAGAAGGAAAATAGGCGCAAGATTTTCTTGGAAAAATCGTTGTCCCTGAAATCTATTTATTTTATAAATTAAATATAAAATTAAAAACAAGTAGAAAAATCAAGATCATTTATGTAAAAACAATTGAAAAATAATAACAAAAGGTTGATGATAACTGTTTTGTCAAAGATTATTATAATCATAAGATTATATAATTGCTTATAACTGTGCGGCAATAGTCGCAATTATGCAGAACTGCTTACAACTGTTTACATCATTTATATATATAAAATTTTTGTACAAGCATGTTGTACATCTTTCCAAAAAAAAATGTGCGTAAAAATTTTAATCCTATGCGCTGCGTATAAGCCATACAGTGAAAAATAAACAATAGTGCTGATCCCCATATCATTTGTAAAGGATTATTATATATATATATCTTTGTTATATGACTTAATTTAGGTTGGCATTATAAGTTTAATTATATAAAAAGCAATTACCTTTATTTTTTTCTAAACTTAAAATGAAATTATTATAATTATCATTTATCTCATCAGTATTACGTTTATACCAGTAGAATTTTTTATTACTTACTACACAGATTTATAATAGTATATAAATACTGAATATTAATAAATTTAAATTAAAGAGGTTCATATTTATTATATTAATTTTATACAATTAGTAAATAATATAAATTAGTAATGAATATAAAAATGCACATCTATAATAGATATCTTTGAAAATTTTGATTGTAATTTGCTTTTTTATATCTAATTAGAAACGTCTTTTAATGCCTATCTTTTTTTGCTATTGTTTAAAAAAAAAAAATAATAGTTGAAATTAATAATCGAAAGAATGAATTACAAATAATTTACTTTCATTATTTATATGAATTTTATTATTTGAATCAGAATTTCATTAGAATTTTGTTCAGAATCTATCAAACTTTTATTTAGATTTAAATCTTTATTATTATTTAATTCCTTACCTTGTTTATTATCAAACATTTCTTATTCTTCATTTGTTTCTAAAATTAAAATTATTATAACATTTAACTTGCTAATATCTAAACAATTTGAATTATTATATTATCATTTAAATTAATTAATGAATTTCAGAAAAGTATTCAAATTCTTTAACTTTAATATTTTAAAATCTAAAGATATTAAACTAATAGTATTTTAAATTTCTTTGCTTCAGCTAAACTTTTATTAAGTTCTTACTTCATAATCTAAGATCAAAAAATTTCATAATTTCATCTTCTAAAATATCTTTATCTTTTAGCATTTAAAATTAGCAATTTTTCAATTATCAGTTAAACTAATACCTATTAAAGTAGCAATTTGATATAATATCTTTCCTAATTTATTTTATCCTATTCAGATATTTTATATCAGATTTCTTTATTAAATTTAAATAATTAAAATTTTTTATTAATACATTATAAATAATATTTATTTATTTATCTTTTTTTGATCATGTAATATCAAAAAAGAATGATAAACATATATCTTAAGGTCTCATTGATTTATATTTTAAAATATCATATATAGCTAATAAATATTTCTTTTAAAATCTAATAGAATGGAAATTTTTTATGTTATAGATTTTCCATATTTATTTCTATTTTTTACACCTCTTTAATTATTTTATTTAATAAATATTTCTAAGTTTAATTCACCATTTTTTCTTCACATGATTTATCAATCTTTAATTTTTAAACATTATCACTATGTAAACTATACAATAAGAAAATCTAAAAGAATATACTTCTGATTAAAGATTCATTATTATCATTATTCATTGATGAATGATTCAATATTTGTTTGATTCTTGCTTAGTTAATAAATCAGCTTGTGCAGTTTTTCCTAATTTTTTAATTTAAAGTTGTTTTATTTTACCATCTAATATTTTAATTGCTAAAGAAAAGACATACTGATCCTATATTTTACATAATTTAATTATTGACCTTTCTTTTATATATCTTGCTATAGATGTATAACAATTATAAACAGATTCCGTTTTGTAGTTTTGACTATTAATTTCTTAATCAATTGAATAAAAGATTTAGGTAAATCATCAAAATATAATTAATAATATTAAGTAAAAGTTTTTATTATTAAATTTGATGAAAATATTAGCATTTGTTATTATGAAATCTTTAATAAATATTAATGAAACCTGATTTTTAAAAGAAAAATATAAATAAAACATCTGATTTTTTAATTCTATTATCATTTGATATAGTAAAAGCTAGAAATAATGCAAAAATATTTTTTTTTTTTTCAAGTTAGATCATGTGAGAGAAATTTTTTTAGAGTATATATAAGATTATCTTAGTATAATATATTAAATTTACTATATTTAAGATTGTAAATAGACACATTTATAATCAGCATATATTATTTATTATTTAGTAATATATTTATATTATTATTATTTTTCTATACTACTGACATATAAAAGAGTTTATTTATAGGATTATCTGATATTTGTGATACATTATTTAATATATTTTTAAAAAGGATTATTATATTATTTTAATTCTTTATTTTTCTTGCAAATTTAATGCATTTTTAGTTTTTGAATATATTGTTTTGTTTAATTATATATGATGATAAGAGTTTTGAGTTTTTGAAAAAAAAAAAGTAAGAAAGAAAAAGTATTATATTTTGCATTATTACTCAGTTAATATATCATTATTATCTAATGTATCTATTATTTGAAGTAAATTTTTATCATCTATTATTGAAATAATATCTTTATTATCATATATTAGAAGAATAACCTCTATAGTATTAGAAATAATTTATTGTATAATATTTAATCCATGATCATAAATTCCTACTTCATGTAAGTTATAAATATAAGTCTATATGAAATTTCAATAAAATTATCATTTAAAAATTTTCTTGTATAATTTTTTTTAAAGAAAAGATTTTATATATTCTTCATTAAATTTTCTGATAAGTTAATAAACTTCTAATATTTTATATGAAAAAAACTCTGTAATAACAAAGCCTCTTTTTTTCTAGTTTAAAAATAATATAAGTCTTAAGTTTTAAAAGTTTAAGATATTTTAAGTAAAAAGATTTTTGAAAATATAAAGCATTATATTATATAAGTATAAAAAATATAATAAAATATTTGTTTTTTGAAAAATTATATGTTTTGAAATTTTTAGAAAAGAGTTATCATTGAAATTTATTATAATAATTAAAATTAAAATATACTTTTAAAATATAGCATATATAAATATACTATTATTTTAATATTTATTAGTTCAAAATGAAGTAAAGGACTATATATGTTTACGCAAAGTGTCTCAATATTTGTCTACTCAAAAATTAAGTTAATGCTGATTGGCTTTTACAATTTTTTTTTAGTTAAGATTATTTCAGATTTAACAATAATTTCTATTTTCTAGTTATAATTATTATTATTATTATTATTATTATAATAATAATACTTACTTTAAATCTATTTCTAAATTAATAAAAAAAATTAAAATAAAATAAAAAATAATAAAAATAATAAAAAAAAGATATAAAAAAAAAATTAAAAAAAAATAAAAAGATTAAGATAGGAAGAGAGAAAGGAAAAAAGAAAATAAAAAAATTAGATAAAAATAATTAAAAATAAAAAGTACAATACCTTATCATTCATTTTGAACAATATTTTATTATTCATTTTGAATAATATCAAATTATTTATTTTTGACTTCTTATCATTCTAATTAAATAATTTATTATTATAATAATTTAACGATTTATTATTATTTAATTAAAATAATTTTATTAATCTGATCTAAATTTTTAAATCAAACAAATTAGATTAAGATAGAATAGATTATCTGACCTGATCTGATTTAAAAAAAATATCAGATCAGATTAACCAAATAATTTAAATTAATTTAATTTGTTCAAAGCTTTACATTTTAATCATCATAGATAATCATAATTAATTTTGACTATTATAATTGATTTTAACTTTATCAAATTTTTTAATAAATAATCAAAATTAATTTTGACTATTTTGATAGTAAAAATTAAATAATTTTAGTTTTATGTATAGTTATATACAAATTTTTTATTATATACTATAAGTTATTATTTTGTATTATATAAATTATAATATTATTAAATTACTTTATAAAATATTATATTAATTTGTAAAACTTGAATTTTACTATTGAAATTATCTTACAAAATATTATTATACTAATTTTTAATTTTTTTTTATTAAAAACTATTTTTAAAATTTAAATATAATATATAACACTTAAAGATTGAAATTATATAATTTATTCTATTTTAAAATTTTTAAAAAATTATATAATTAATATAAGTTATGTCATATATTAAGTAAAATAATAATAAAATAAATTTAAATATTGATAAATTTAATTGATTAATGACTTATTAATAATCTTAATTAACTAAGTTTAATACTAATTTATAGATAAGTTTAATTGATTTAATACATATATATAATAAATTAAGAATTATTTATTAATAATTTTTTCTTTTCTTATAATTCTTTTATAAAGATTGTTAATTTATTTTACATATTTAACTAATTTTTCTATTAATCTCTTATAATACAATTACCTGTATTTTTATAATTTTTAGGTATACTTTCTAACTGAAATAATATTTATTGAATCAAGTATTTACAAAATAGATTTTTATAAACTATCTCATATATAATCACAGAATTTCTTATGTAATATTTGATCATTATTTTTCTCTAAAATTTAGATTTATTCTTACTATAATAAAAGTATTTTTAATATATATTACATAACTCATATTATTATCAAATATAAAAATAACTGTTATATTAGAAAATTTTACTTTAAAAATAAAAATTACTTTAGATTTAATCTGCTCTAACAAATCTCAAAGGTTCAATAATCTTTCTAATTTTTATTAAATAAAAAATAACAATGAGTTTTTATAGGAATATTTAAGTTTCTTGTAATCTTTTTTTTTACTAAGTTTTAATCAATTATAAAGCTTTTAAGAAATTTGTTTACTATAATTAATTTTTATTTTCTTTCTTTTATAATAGCATTTTATTATTAATTATTTAAATTATTTCTATTATTTATATAAAAGATATACTTATCATGAGTAATAAAATTAATTCTTATTTGTCTGATTTAAGTATTAATAATCATTTTTCTTTTTCTTTTCTATATCTTATAATTTTTATTTTAATTATTTTATTATTTTAAACCTTTTTATTTTAATATTTAATAATATTCTCTTATTTCATAATTATTAAATAAATATTCTTTTGATATTCTTAAATCAATATCATAAAATATGTAATCATCTTTAATAGTTCTTATGCTAATTTTTTTTTTTCTGAATTTCTATATGTTTAAGTAAAATAAAATCAATATATTATTTAAAATAAGTTATTTTAATACTATTTGAACCTGATTTTTATTATAACTATTATAATAAGCTCAATGTAATATTTTTATTATCATATTAATTATATTTTTAACATTTACCACAATATAAAATTAGAAATTATTTGTAATTTGAGTAAAATTTGACTAAAGAACAAATCTATATAATATATATACTTTAAAATAATATAAACTATTTAAATTATTTTTTTATTTTTTATAACTTACTTAACTATGTGAAATTTTCATAAATAGCACGTTATTTGTTATATTTCAAAACTATAATCATTTCTTATCCTTAAAAAAGTTATCTTGAAGTAATGCAATTCTTTTATAAAGCATTAAATTTCATTTACTTTTAATAGAGATTTTGATAATGTAAATAAAACTAATTATGAAAAAGAATCAGAAAATGATGATAGATATGGTGATGGTGATGATGATGGAGAAGGAGATAAAGATAGAGATGAAGTTGAAAAACATCAACAAACTTACTGATATACCTATTTGAATATGCTAAAGATTTAGACAATAAAAAATCATTATTATCCCAAAAACTTATAATTTTAAGTTCTCCTTTAGAAGCATTGACAAGTCTTTAAAAGTATCAAGCTTATGATAATAAGTTGCTTTTGATATTGCTTATATTGATTTTTTATTTTTTCAGGTTTGTTTCATATGAACTCTGCTGCAATTAAACATGTTTGAACATGTTTGTACCTTCTCTTTCTCTTCAATTTCTTCATCTTCTCTTCTTAATAGATTCTGTATTCTTTTCATTAATCTCAGTTTCTTTCTTTTCAATAAGAGAAAATCATCTTCTCTTATTATATTGTTGAAGTCAGATAAATTTTTTTTCTCCGTGACATTTTTTAATAACGGAATAATATGTTTTTCGTCCTAAACATCTGATAATATAGAATTGCACGTGATTTGATTGGCCAATTTCAAGTCGCGTGCTTGTATGAAAAGGAGGAATTTTTAAAAGAGGCCGGCAATTTGTAGTAAATTGTTTTGGCTTCAAAATAGTGGCTTTCTTTTTTTTTGATATTATCTTAAGTATTATTTTTTATAACTTTTAAAAATCATCAAATTTATTGAAGTCTTTAAGTATGCACTGTATTAAAAACATAAAAAATAAAAATGATTTTAATTAATAAAATGAAATTGTCTACAAATTTGTAGGCAAAACCATTAAAGGGATAATATTATATAAAAATCATTTCCGGTTAAAATAATCGATTATTTGAACTTTTAAATAATTAGGGTGTTATCAAGTACCTAACTTAATGAAATTAGTCGGAATTTGATTTTGAAGGTCAATAAGTTACCGATGAATAAAATAAAGAGGCCCAAACCATTTTTTTTTTTTTAAATTTATCAATTGATAGAGTATAAGTGAAATCATTCAAGAATTTTTCTTCATTGGTGTAGCTTGAGTAATTGCCCATATATTCTTTTTATTAGTTTGTTTATTTTTAAGCTGCTCAAGTATTGATTTTAAATTGCATTGCAATCACTAGCAATTACATTGAGGGAGATGCTTGAGAACGCCTTTAATTTACTGTTTCATTTCTGGTTCGGTCTTAGTACAGATTTAGCTACACCACAAATTTTATGTGCATAAAATCGATTATATTCGATTAATCGAAAATCGAATCTAGAGTCGAACGATAATCGCGATTCTCAAATCGATTCTAAATATCGAAATCGATTCCAATCCCTACCTACTCTAGGACGGTTGCCGATTGACAAGAAAAAATGAGGTTATTTTATACATTTTATTTACCTAGTTTATTATATTATTCAATTACTTATATTCTATGTTATAATAGCATAGTATTTCCATTGAGTTTTATAGAAAAGGTCATTATAAACTCTAAGTAAATCAGCCTTCTTTGTTTGTTTCACCTACATACGCAAGTGAATTGTATTTGATTTGATTTTCGCTAAAATTCCAGACTAACACCGGTTACAATATTCGTTAACCGGTTAAAAATCAACACTAATTCCATTAAAAAATAACAAATCGTTTAAATTTACTTTCCATTCAATATTTTTTAGTCTTGATCCGTATTTTGTTAACTTTTTCTTTTTTAATAGTTTCTCTGAAATAAATTCATGAGGAGCAGGAATTTTTCTTTTATTTCATCTATTTGTCACATTTTACGACAAAATTAATAAATTACTTTTTGTTGTGGAGTTCGAAATAACATACGATATGGAGTATTTTTTGTGTAACGTAGAAAAAAAACCTTTATTACTTTTTTTAAATTATTTCCAAAATGATTTTTCTTTATGTATAAGATTCTTTATCTTTTTTGGTTTCATTTACTGAGAGAATTCCTCATAAAATACCGCAATAAGCTTCGACAATTTGATCATTGTGATTATAAATATTTTCGACAAGTGTACAAACATACAATAAAAAAAACCACGTTTCGCAGCAAAAACGAATTTGTTGTAAAATTTTTGATCAATAATACAGTAAAAAAAAACAAGTGGCATAAGCGTTTTGTCAACTGGTGACACCAAAAAAGAGTAATTGTACTAACGTCATTTCTGAATCAAATAAATGTGGAAAAACCATAACAATAGTAACATCTAGGGTTTTTTTTTAAAAAAAAAAATTGATAAAAAAAAAAGGAGTATTATTAAACCGAGCGAATCATGACCACGTATTTATATGTTACTTTGCATTTTACGGAGAAATAAGCGTATGTGGAACATTATGAATATATACAGCAAATTGCATTACTCGTCGTAATTAACCCTGGGAAATTCTGTTCGTATTTGGAAGGTTTTTTTTTTTTTTTAAAAAAAAAAAAAAATTCCTATTGACAATCACTTACCAATTTCAACTATTATTGGTATGTATATAAATGGAAATTTACAATGAACCGCAAAGATAGGATTTTAAAGGTGACACGACAGATCCCAAGGGGAATTGTAAGTTTCAAATCAAAACATATGATTGAAATAATCAGAATTTTGCGCCTTAGATCGTTGGGATTTGAAACGAGGCGATCCTAGAACGTTCAGATTTCTACTAAAAATGTGAAAAAATCTAAATCTTTTTTTTCGCAAAATGTATTGTTTTAAAAGCTGATGAATAGCAAATAAATAATTCAGGTTATTTTCCTAATTAAAAGAATCTGTATAAAGGTAAAAAGGATTTCTTCAATAGAATAAATATAGAATAAACATAAAAAATAGCAAAGGGTAAAAAAAATAAATATCCGACATTATAAATAATCACAAAAGATAAAGAACAATCATTTTGAGAACGGGAGGATTGTCAAAGTTTTTTTTTTCTATTTTTAACTTAATAGATGCAGGATCGGTACTACGAAACATTGTTTCATTAGATTTTCATTATGTTCATTCATGATGTTATTTGTTTATTTATTTATAATATTGTTAGAAATCTTCAATGAAAGGAGAGGCTTTTTTAAAGTCTTACTGATTACGGAATGATGGCCGTATTATCGAATTTAAGGCTAACTTGCATTTGCATACAATACTAAGTTTTTGCAATAAGAATTGTTTGTCAGTTGGAAATATTTTGAGATTATGAATTTTTATCGTTCGTCGATTTATTATAAATACAATACCACTTTTCCTCTCAAATTTTCCTCATCAAATTAACGATTCAAAAATACCAACAAAACTAATAAAACAATTAAAATACATAACAAATTAACAAAAAAAAAATGAATCCAACAACTAATTCAACAGCTATCATTGTTACCTCTGAATTAACAGAAAAACCTAATCCTACAAATCAATGCTCTATCATGTAAAACGTTTAATCAAAAAACATGAACAAAATCAAAATCAAAATCATTTCCTACTTTGAAAGAAACGGCCTGGTGCTGTAAAGAAATCTTCAAGTTCTCAAAGGACCTTCTCGTTATTAATTTTCGGCCTCGAAAGGAACGGAACGGCTTGATGAAAATTTTTCATTTCTCAAAAGATCGATCTATCTTTGTGTAGTTTATAATGTTACTATTTTATAATTATTTAAAATTTAAATATTCTTGTACATTTTTTGTTTGATTTATTTATTCTTTTTATTTTTAATAAAAAAAAATTGAAAGTTTGCTTTACCTACTATAATTTTTCAAATTTATTAAAGTTTCGTCTGAATTCTGTGTCGCACATAAAAAATTTCACAGGAAAATCTCTAATTTTGGTACCTAAGCTAATTTTGTGCACATGACATTAATCGGTCAACTGGACCAATAAAAAAATTTTGACAAAAAATTTGGATTTCCGCCCATCACTACGCGCTACGCGAAAAGCATGCTAAAAATTAGTTACCTACCCGATAAATATCCCTATTATTCGCGCTATCACAAGGTCAAAGATTGAATTGGTAAAGAAATCCGTCCAATTCTTACACACTATTATTATTTGAAGACAATTTAAAAAATGTGTGATAAACGACTTTTTCCCTTTCAGTGATCGGTGTAAAAAATAACATAATAGTTGGCAGTAAAGGTTGGGTAAGATCAAAAAATGTTTTTTTTTACTCTTTTTTAAAAACTATATTTATTAAAGTTGTGAATAAATTAAAATTCTGTATAACTGTGCTAAGATTTGAATAATCGACCGTTAATAGTAATTTGAAAATATGATAATTTAAATTTTCTCATTTAAAATATTAATTCTCATCAAGTTTTTTTTAATTTTTTTTTATTTTAAATTTAAATTTATTAAAGATTGTTAATTTAAATACAAGAATTTATTAGTTTATGGTCGACCATAACCGGTGACCTAATTTACAGAGCACCTGATATCCAAATAAAAGAAATATTTTAACAATTCTGATCGACGTACTTTCTGAAGAAATGAATTGAAAAGGGATATTTGAAAAACTTATCGACTAACCTGGGATCGCTTAATAATGCAAAAGGTTTTGAACAAATTATTAACGTGCCGGTGAGCATCGGAAGACGAGTGCCGGGTTTGCGACTTATCGGGATTTTGAGTGTCGAACGGTACCCGTACTACTTCACTTCGATAAATTCGGGTAATGGTTTTAAAAATTTTGTTTGGGACCGTTATCTTGATAAAAAGGACGCGTTCCCTAATTCTGAAAAATTAAACAGGATCATAAAAAAAAAATTCCTAATTCGACTTGATACTAGATCTGCAATTGCCCCATTTAAATTTTAGTGTTTCATTGTCCAAAGAGTTCTTTTCATTTATAAACATATATTAGGTAACGTTTGGAAAATTTCAAATTTTCTGAAAATTATATCATGTGCAAAAGGTATGCGATGTGTCAATTATTGACTAATTCAAATTTGTTTCTCGTGATAATGTTAACAAATACGTCCATTAAAAGTTAAGAAATCTGATTGGATACAATGTGTAACTAAATAAAAAAAAAAAAAAGATAATCGATTCATCTTTTTTTTTTTTTCCTCCCAAAAAGTTATTATATTAATTTTTTTTTTTTTTTTTTTTTTGTCCAAATTTACGAGGGAAACTTTACTATACCAAATAATGGCGTCAAATCCATCTACAACTGCTCCAGTTGATTATATTATAACATTAGTTGAAACGATTGAAAATATCGTTGAACCTTACGTGTCTCCGATAGAACTTGCGATTAAATCAATATTTACTTCATACTTTCCTTCCCTGAGTGAAAATGTTTCGGGTTTTTTAGAAAAAAATCATTCACCTTTATCGGCTCGTTTACCCTTAATGAACCCTTTTCACGTCATATTAATCGTTATCGCGTATTTATCCTTGGTATTTTTGGGAAAATCTATAATGTCAACTAGAGAAAGATTTAATGTCAGATTATTAAGTATTATACATAATTTGGTCTTGGTCACTTTGAGCGCATATATGTTTGGAACCATCAGTTCCGAAGCTTGGAAGAATGATTATTCCTTATTTGCTAATCCTGAAGTGAAATCCGAAGAAGGTCAACAGGTAAAAGATTCGATTATGTAATGTGATGACGTATTTCTGCGCCATCAAACGATCTTAATTCCCTTATTTTTTTTTCTTTGCCGCAGATGTCGAAATATATTTGGCTCTTTTACGCTTCGAAGATCGCGGAATTTATGGACACTTTTATCATGATTTTGAAAAAGAATTTTCGTCAAATTACTTTCTTGCACGTCTATCATCATTTTTCGATTTTTATGATCTGGTGGTTTGTAACATTTGTCGCGCCAAATGGGGAGGCGTATTTCAGTGCCGCTTTGAATTCACGTAAGTAATCCTCATTTTTTTTTTTTTTGTAAAAAAAAAAAATATATATATATATACATTTCCTAAACCTCATCCTTTCCTCCTCCTCAATCTGAATTCGTTTAGTCGTTCACGTTGTAATGTACGGATATTATTTCAGCACGACGATCTCCATTCCGATTCGTTTCATAAAACGTTACATCACTTTGTTTCAAATGACTCAATTTACTTTAATGATGATCCAATCTACTTATGATATGGTCTACTTTAAGGTGTTACATCCTGAGGAAACAAATACTTATCCATTTTCATTAACCGCTATACTTTGGGTTTATATGTGGACCATGTTGGCCTTATTCGCTAATTTCTTTAGAGCTGATAGAAAAAGGGAGAAAGAAATTAAATCAACTCCCGGTAAAAAATCTCAATGAAGAATTGATTAATTTCTTGGTGTTGGAAATAGTTTTTCATCCATTGTAGATAGAATGATGTTAATCTTAGAAATGTTGTTTTATTGGATCTCTTTATTAATGACAAATCATTTCTCGTTTTCCATTATTAATAAAATGAAATAATTCATCTTAATGCATGGCATAAAAAAAAATAAAAGAATCTTTTTGTAAGCCGTATTACATGCAAGTGGACGAATAAATAAACATATCTAGCTTTTACTTGGGTCTAATCCCAGTGATTTGCTAACCTACTTATTATATGTGCAGTGTCACTCACTAACTTTAATTAATTACAACTTTAATTTAAAGATTTTATTATTATGTTGAAAAATTATTTTATCAAACGAAAATATCTACTAACAATTATACAAGATGCATATTAAATGTCTATATTGATGCCCCCACCTCTATATCTAATTTTAAACCATTTACATTTTATGAGGGTCTGGAAAACATCTTTCTCCTTGCGTTTGAGCATTATTCCCATACCATTCAGGGAAATCGGCCTATAATTTCAAAACATATACATACTTAATAATATTCACGAAAGTAATCCCAAATATTTAATACCTAAAATTATTACTTACCTGGAACATAACGTTGAAAAAGAAGAAAATAAACATCGTGACTATCTGTGCAGCACTATCAAATGCAGCAGAAAGCGGATAATTATACCTATTATGAATAAATGCTTTAGTTCGTGTGAAATTATTAATCAACTAATAAAAAGATATGGTGTAACACTTACTTATTCCACCACTAATGAATTATTTAAATAAAAGTAAATATAGCGAATATTATCTTTTTAATAATTGCAAAATATTTTCATGTACTTTGTAAAAAAAAGGGAAGAAAAATCTCCTCACGTTACCTTACGGTGATATCTAAAAGCCCAATATTGGCTCAAGAATGCTGCAACAAAACCAGATATTATGAAATTTGTATAAGTCCCAGGTAAGAGTCCTAAACCGTTACAAATTAAAGGAATCGTAATTAAATGGAATTTGGCCTTTGGATATCTTTTATGTAACAAATAAATGGGAACAGGTGCAAGAAACCCTAATAAAAATCCCCACAATAATGGATGATATATAGATCCCTACATACGGAAAAAAATTTTAAAAAGATAAAAATAAATATAATCTTTTACAAATTTGTTAATGACTTACTTGGCCAAAAGTTTTACCAGGTCCAATTAGTCCCCATACTATTGATGCTGTATTGAAAACTTGTGAACGATAACCTGTCCATTGACCAGTTGGATCTTTCATTGTCCCATCCAAAAATGGCCTTTTTGCCGCTATAATTAATTGAAGTAGCCAATAATTTATAAAGGCACCTACTATTGTGCCCCATAATTGTGCCGCAAACATGGCTTTGGGAGGAATTTTCATATAATGTCCTAAGATATACATCATCAGCATATAAATTATAATAATACCGATATTTATAATCAAACACTTACCAAGTTTTAGGTCAGATACAAAGGCTAAACATTGATGCATCGCCATATATCCATAACATTTAAAATAAACATTGGCAATTGGACGTCCCGGAAATATGTAACTAAAAATACAAAATATGTACGTCAAGATTATCTCGAATTAATGAGATAGTTTTTTGAAATGATGATTTACCCGCATATCATCTCTGTTACAACGTTAAGACCAACTTGATTATTGGATATAGCTTGAATTATTCCTTTTTTTTTAAAAAAAAACATACAGATATCTAGTTATAGTTACTCTAAACAAATAACAGAATAAAAGAAAGAAAAATTCACAAACCTATAGGCAAAACCATAACACATGCAAGTCCCACAGCCAATAATAATCCATACCATGGTAAATGTGATCCTGATACAGAACACAATATCATTGATATGAATAACATGAAAATAAATATACATGCGTACCACCAATTAGGAATCTCTAGATAATTTACACCAAAGATCGGATTAGTCGGTAAAGTTAATAAATTTAAAGAAACGAAATTAGGTATCATATTTCGTGCCTTCATAATTTTTCATCATTTTACAATGAATATCTTCAACTTCTTCAGATCGACTAGCCTTGAATCTTCCCCAGATTTCATCTCCGTAAAATAAAGCTACGTGGCTAATTGCTGCCGAAAAAGATATAAAAGAATAAAAATATCCAACAGCAAAAGTTACACTTAAATAGGCAGGACCATATTCTTTATATGCTGTTTCATTCAATGATCCCGTATAGCTATCAATGATCGCGGTTTGATTATATCTGTGATATGAAATGATATTTTGCAAATTAATTGTCAATATAAAATTTGTATAATTTAATAAATTTCAATACGTCAATTAACCTTATTCCATCTTTATCCAAAGAATAAGTCGCCAAAAAAGGAAACGTTTTTGCCATCCTAAATGAAAAACATTTCCTTAGAATTTGTGAATTTTTAAAAAAAAGCCACTTTGCAACTAATCCACTCTCTTACCAAACATCATTGTAATACAAAATCGGTGCGATGATCCATGATCCAATAATCACACCGGCATACCAGTTAACTTGTGCCCACCTATTTATTTTCGAGAATATTAATGTGATATTTTTCATTAAATCTGTCCAGGAAAATTAAAAATTCATTACCATGGAGTGTAAAGTGGACCTGGTTGTCCAACTGCATTCCAATCCAAAGAAAAATTCAATATTCCCAATCCATGATATCCGCTACCAAAACGAACAATATCTGAATTAAACGGCACCATCAGACATAATATCGATATACTCGTCAACATAGTAAATATGTATTGAGGGAAAAATTGCCATGCAAACATGCAAATGAATGCGATATAAAAGAATCTAAGCTTATCACGCGTTTCTGTCACATTTCCGTGAAGCGTCGAGAAAAGACTCGAAAACACTAAATTTGATGGCCACTTTTAGTTGGAAGAATTAAATTAGTCGATCTCTCAGAAACTTAAAGCTTTGTTTTTAATATTATTCATACCAACATGTTTGCTGGTCGGACAAGATCTAAGAATAAAGAATATACGTTAGATTAAAATAAATTGAATGTACTATCAAATATCTTGAAACATATACATTTTCGTAAGAATCCGGCTAATCCATATCCAATCATTTGTGTGCTCAATAAAAGCAATATTCCTATTATAAATCCAGAATGTTGATTATAGAAAAGTTCTTGTATGGCGATAATATCCTTTTAAAAATAAAAAATAAACAAATGATTGATTAATATATTATTTATATCATTCAAAAGGGGATATAAAGATTTTGATACTTACGGTGCCATAAGCTGAGCCACCTCCGGCTCCTGCAGCAACAGCAATAAGCACATGTTCTTTTATATTAAATGGACCTCAAATGAATATAAACAAAAAATTAGAATATATTTCGTATAGGTATAATTCAACCGATAACTATCAAGGATACCTGGATTTAATGTAAATCTCCAGTTCCAGATCCTGAATTCATCAATAGGAAGTGCATGAGCCATCCATTTACCCATAACAAAAGAAACGAGCAACACGAAAAAAATTGAGTATCCACCACCATTTGATCTGAAATAATAAAATTCAGATACAGCAGCTCCAAGTGCGGTAAATATCTAAAATAAAAAGTGAATTTGAAAAAATGTATAAACTTTTTAAAGAAAGTAACAATTATTACTTACGAAACTTAGAACCCAAAAACGAAAAGTTAGACATGGTAGAGAAGGATCATCCTTAATACTAACAGCCTATGATAATAACCCAAATATTAATCGATGAATAAATGGTGAATTAATTTCAATTGAAGTCAGATAATTACCGCAGCAACCATTGGTATTGGGGAATTTTCAAGATAAATTTGATTTTCCGATTTGTCGCGAGACAAAAGATGAACATCATCATTAAAATCATCGATGTCGCCAGCGCTTTTACTATATATAGTTTCGTCAGGTCTCAATTCTGGTAATTCAAAATCATCATCATCAAATGAAGAATTGTGTCCTTCTTCTTGCTTTAATCGATCATATAATGATATATTAGTCATGTTTTATAAGGAAAAAAAAAATAAGTTATTGGGGAGACAGACAGAGAACAAATGTAAGACAAAAAATCAAGCTTTTCATTATTTTAAATTATTTTGGTCTTACCATCACATGTGACTTACAGTCATTCTTACAGTAATATATATGTTGATCGTCAAAACAAATCTGTGGGACTTAATTACTCCATTTAATAATCAATTTTTTAAGTTAGACACTTTCCTTTATTTTCATATTAGAATGAAAAAGTCAATAGTAACTCAAGAAGACTTGGATTTCGTTGCGTGCGAGAGCGATCGGTTCGAAAGTGAGAGAATAAGGTGGAAGAACAAGCTGATACAGGTTTGTGAAGTTTGTAATTACACTTGTCTTTTCCTTTTGAAAGCTGTTTCAATTTTATTCTTTGGTTTATAGCAAGCTGTAGCTCAGACAGAAGCAGAATATGAGAATGAAATATCTATAGTTAAAGAGGAGGAAAGAAAAAAATTGAAAGAAGCGGAACGAAAACGTAACGAAAAATATGAACGCTTGAAAAAGTTCTATGATGAGCTCGCGTTGCAATAGTAAGCCTACATATCAATGTTAGTTTAATTGGAATATTTTAATTTAACTGTTTACACCCTTTTTACAGCGAAAGAGAGAGACGTAAAAGAGAGCAAGAGTTCCAAGCCGAACAAGCCAAGTGGAGTCGAGAGGCAGAGGTTTGACTAATAATTCATATCTTTAGCACTGTATGAGAAAATAATTTAAATTGATTTCATAATAGTAATAGTTATTTCATTTTAGAAATATGAACGTGAACTTCAAGCAAAAAAACAAGCAGAATTAAATCGTAAACGATTAGAAGAGGAGCAAAAGAGAAAACAAGCCCAAGCTGCAGCTCATGCTCAAGAAGCTGCACTTGCTGAGGAAAAAAGATTAAAGGAGAAGCAAATAAAAGAAGCTGAAGCAGACAAAAGAAATAAAGAAACTCAAAAAATAGAAGCTGAGAAGAAAGCGCTTAATAAACTTGTATCAGATAGTGCCTTGAAAGAGGAAGAAAAATATCGTCAATATCTAAAAGTAATTAACGATAATATAGCGAAGAATACTCAGCTAAAATCTCAATCCTTGGAATCAAGAAGAGCCATAACTCTGGCGTTAAATACTCTCACTAATGATAGGATTAAAATAATTGATATAGTATGTATATAAAGTTCATGTATGATTAGATTCGTTTATCTATATATTAAAAAATATATATATTAAAAGGCTACTCGGTTAGACAAAATGCTCAAAAGTGTTCAAAATAATAAGCAACTTTATTATTTTCTTCTTAATTTTACGGCAAAAGGCATCGTGGTTCGTATATTTTATAAATTTTTTTTCGTTATTTGGTTTATAGCTTTATTTATTTTTCTTTAATCTATTTTTATAATTTATTATAAATTAATAAAATTAGAAACATGCAGAAGTTGATGTATTATCCAATGAGTCGGCGGCTTTTCCATTTGCTCATGTTTCTGTTTTACTTTCGACAGAGCATCCTGATTTTATGGATAAATTAATGATGGTTCGCTTAGTGAAAAAGTGCCCATATGTATTACCAAGATATTATGTCAAACTTCCGGTAACTTATAGTTTAGCATTTATAAATTAAATAATCTTTTATTGAGTTAACAATTAGTAATTCCTTGAGTATATAGAATCAAAGTTTGAATGATTTTAGAAAACAAATGGGTTACAAGCATAACGAAGATGATGAAGCTTATGTCAATAGGATGTGCGCGATTTTAGCTTTGTATTGTGCTATAATGCAAACTGTTCCGCTAATTCCTGGTAATTATCAATAATATATATATTTGTATAAAGTCTTCGGCTTCTGAAAAGGGAACATCATATATTAAATTAAAAAAAAAAATTTTTCTTTAGGTCGCGTTAATCCATATTCAATGGATCATGCGTGGACTTGGTTGGCTCGATTATTGAATTTAATACCGCATAAGATTACTCCGTCCCTTTTATATATATTTTTCAAGGCTAGGAAACAATATTTTATTATTGATATTGCTATTCTTATTAATGAAATAACCAACACCAATTTATTAATTTAGATTGCCGGTTCGCAATTTATACAAGTATTTAAAGAGCAAGGTGGTAAATTAATTCTCGTCGCTTGTAAAGCTTATGTCCAACAACCTCCTCCAGAGATCAAAACACTCTTAACAACTTCACCTGCTGCGATGTCACGGTTGAGAACATTTCTAGAAAATGCATTTCAGAAAGGATTTACTGAACCTGAAGGAAGCAATCCAAGATAATTGACATTTTGGTTCAAATTCTTTTTTCTCTTGACGTTAAGTCAAAGTTGTAAATATTAATATGTTAGGTATAATCATCATAATTTCATACCTTACTTAGATCATGGCCATTTTGGCTTTTTAATGTAATTTTCCTTTGAAATTTATTGAATTGACAGGAGAATAGAGGATAATCTTATAATAGGATCAATAAACCGATGTGAATCTTAATTTTTGAATTACTTACTATTTCGGAATATGATGCGCAATTAAGTCAACAATTTAAAATCAAATTACGATATTACTTTTTACGACAAAAAAAAAATAAAAAAAGATAAAAAAAATTTATAAATAAAGAATTATTTTTTTTTTTTTAAAAACCTAATTTATGGATTGTTAAAATATCTTTGCTTGATTCTAAATCATCCAGTTTTTTCCACCATTTAAACAAGAAATTCTCACAAATAAGTTTAAACCACGGAGTAAATTTCAAATCTATTAAAAATAAATATATAATCTTTTAATAAGATGTTATAATTAAGTCATAAAAAAACATAAATACATATCAAACATACTGCCAGGGTTATTGAATTTTTGACGTAATTCTTCCGGAGATAAAAATTCAACGGCACTAACTTCATTTTTATTAACTGCAAGATCATTTAGAGTAAAATTTCCTCGAATGAAAAGTATGTAATCAACTAAATAATATATTCATGAGTTAGGAGTTGATATCATTAAAATGATACTGTACCAAAAAAAAAAAAAAAAAAAATTCAACAAAAATAAATTACTTTCATGTTCGCCCCAAAGTCCGTCTGAAGGAGCTAAATAATGAACTCTAGTTAAAAACACGAGATCATCAAGAGGAACCTTTTCTGGTTTAATGCCCAATTCATGTTCTAATTTTCTTTGAGCTGCTCGACGTACTCCTATATAAAAAATAAAAATAAAAAAAAATTTAATTACATTTCCCCTCAAACAAGATCAAATATATTCATTTTATAACCTCACCAATTTGAGCTGTTTCTTCCAATTCCAAAGGAGTATTTAAAGGATGAGAACAGCAAGTATTTGTCCAACAATCAGGAAATGTAATTTTTTCACTGGCACGTTGTTGCAATAATAATTTATTTTCAGAATCAAAGAGAAATACCGAAAATGCTCGATGTAAAAGTCCCTTTTTGATGTTCTCCATTAAATGACCTTTTTGAAATATCATTCAAAATAAAAGGATTAATTATTGTATCTGATTGAATGTATTAAATAATCATCCTTAGAATTGCATACAATTTTTCTTGGTATCTGCACTAATTTTTTCATCCTTTTCGTTAACGACAATACACATTTCTTGCATTAATTTAACTTGTTCGTCATCATATTCGTCTAAATTAACATTATCAGTCATTTTTAAAAAATTTATTTTTTTTTGGTTTTCTTTTTTTTAATATTTTTATTTTTTTTTTTTAAAAAAAAAAAATATCCGGGCATCCTTGGAATTAGACTTACATTTATATATCTAATAAAGTTTCACAAGCTTTCACTACATGATCTACTGACCATAATAGTAAATACCAACAACTTTCAAGGAACAATTTCGCAAAAATATTGGAATACTTTTTTTAGCTTTTAAAATATTATTACAAAGTCCGTGAACAGATTTTACAGATAATTTGAAAGATTTTGGTATTTTTTCTTATAATGGTACTAGTACCATGGTTTTAACGAATGAAGATTGTATAATATGTAATAAATAATGTTAAATGATTCGAACAAAAAAGCAATTTCTTTATTAAATCGTGTATCGTAAAAAAAACGTAAAAATAAAATAATATATATTTGTAAGAATCGGCATAATCATGTGATTCCAGGGATTGAACCAGAAATTTTTTTTTTTTTTATACAGTGCAGCAGTATGTGTGCAAATTTAAACTAAATGAGAATCAGGTGAAATTCACACTAACCGATTTTCTTGATTTGGTTAACTCCGATTTCGCATGGTAAAATCAATTATGCTATTTAAGGGAAGCTAATGTAGGATTAAAAAATTAAATCACATATTCTTTGTGTCAAAAATTACTACATAATTACCAAACAAATGGGTCGCGAGACATATTGGATCATACGTTAAGCTACGCCACATTTTTTTTTATCATATAATTGGTATGTATGTTTGTTTGGTCACTGACCTTTTATGGAGAAAAGGCTTAAGTTGACAATACAAAAAATAACCATCATTTATTTTGAAAATTAAATTGTGTTCTTACCCTTTCTTTTTATTGTTTTTTAATTAATAGCCGTCATTCATTCAACCAAATCTCCTTTAAATATAAGAATTTTTTATCAATACAATAGCAGAAAATGTTCGTGTTGAACAAAGAATGTCGTATTTGTTACGAATCACTTCCAAGGTCTGCTTTTCGTGAAATCACAGTAAATTGTGATCATGGATTATTTATTTGTAAACCTTGTGTTAGTAAACATATTTCAGCTCAACTGGATAGTAAAGGTGATGTAGATATTAATTGTCCGTTTGAAAATTGTGAGGAAAAATTGGAATATCATGATGTAAAAAAACAAGCCAGTCAAGAAGTATTTGATAGATATGATACCTTAACACTTCTCCAAGCTTTGAGGCAAATGCCAGAATTTAGATGGTGTAAAAATTCCGGATGTGGTTCTGGTCAGATTCATTTCCAAGAAGGTAATAATTATTTAATTTTTTTTTTATCATTATGATTGTCAACTTACTCCATCATTTATTCTCAGACGATGCTCCTATAATGACTTGTGAAGCTTGTGGTGAAAAATCCTGTTATACCCATGATGTTCCTTGGCATCAAGATTTAACTTGTGACGAGTATGATGTTAATAGAAGGGGTGAAGATGAGGCCACTCAGGATTTACTCGATAGAGAAACCAAACCATGTCCCAAATGTGGTGTAAGAATCATCAAATATGAGGGTTGTAATCACATGACTTGTAGAATCGGTAGTTGTAAATATGAATTTTGTTGGTTGTAAGTATTTCTTCTCTTTCCAAGCTCGTTTTTTTATGATGTATAAAATATTGATATTATTTTATGTTTTTTATTAGGTGTTCGGCTGATTTTAATGAGATTAGGAAAAATGGAAATACGTCTCATAAATCAACCTGTCAAATTGTATGCGTAAAAATGCGTCATTCATTTTGTTTGCTAGTCATAAGGAATCGTAAAAGAATTCGAAATGAAATTAAATCCCTAATTATTTGTACAGTTATTTAACGTTTACAACCAACCACCAAGTTGCTGCCGTTGCTAATTTATAAAAAATATCTTATTACTCGAAATCGCTTATTTTTAAATTTCTAATAGAAAATATAAATATTAACAATGTATTTTATTACGAGTTAGTTGCCGTTGGCGAATAAAATCATTTCAGCTATTATAAGTGATTTTGTAATCTAAAAACATATCGAGTTTATGGTTACGATTACCTTGATGCATAATATTAGTCGTTTTTTGTTTTTTTGTTTTTTTGTTTTATAAAAAAAAATAATTTTGATCCAACTACTACGATTATAGATAAAAGTGGATACAATGACAGCTATCACGTGAAATTTGACATTTGTTGCTTTTGTTCCAATTATTTGGCCATTTATGGAAACAAGGCTTTATTGTTTCTATAAATAAACTCTGATTTTCCCATTTCTCTTCAAAAAAAAAAAAAAAAAAAAATGGGGAGTTCTGTTAGTACTGATTTCACGTCGACTCCTACTCAAATAAATTCAAATTATCGTCGTTCTCAATCTAATAGTTTAATTTCAGATTTTTCATCATCTTCCAGAGACAGAAACATACATAACTCATCCAAAATGAAAAAAGAATGTCAAATATGTTTTGATTCACACCCTAAATCTTATTTTCTTTTAATCACTGAACGTTGTAATCATGAAATTAATATTTGTAAATTATGCGTTAGCAATCATATTTCAGCTCAATTAAGTAGTAAAGGTGATGTGGAAATTAATTGTCCATCCGATAAATGTTATCAAAAATTGCAACATGATGATGTAAAAAGACTTGCCAGTACGGAAGTATTCGATAGATATGATCTTTTATCACTTCGCCTTGCTTTAAGCAAAATGCCAGAATTTAGATGGTGTAAAAATTCCGGATGTGGTTCCGGTCAGATTCACTTTGAAGGAGGTAAATAATAAATACATAATTATTATCATTATCATTATCATTGTAAATTTCCTACTTGATTTATCATCACCAAAATGTTTTCCAGATGATGCTCCTATAATGACTTGTGAAACTTGTGGTGAAAAATCCTGTTACACCCATGATGTTCCTTGGCATACAAACTTTACTTGTGATGAGTATGATGTTAACAGAAGAGGTGATGATGAGGCTACTCAAGATTTACTCAATAGAGAAACCAAACCGTGTCCCAAATGTGGCGTAAGAATCATTAAAAATGGAGGTTGTAATCACATGACATGTAAAGTCAAGGCTTGTAAACATGAATTCTGTTGGTTGTAAGTTTTCATTTATTTATTTATTTATTTTTTTTTTTTTTTGCTCTAAAAAAAAAAAGGATAGACGTTGCTATCTTATTTATCGTATCCAATTAAGAAAATTTACTTTTTTAATTTATAGATGTTTAGCGGATTTTAATAAGATTAGGAGAAACGGAAATTCGGCTCATAAGAGATCTTGTCAATTGTATGCGTGAAAAGCAAAGTTGTGTTGTATCCATAATTTAACCTTGTATGTCTAAAGAGTTCATTTTATATTGCAAAATGAATTCACACACAAAGAGTGTTTAAAGAAAAAGCAAATGACTAGAGAGAAAGCCTTTTTATTTTCACAACATTAGAACTTTTTCTTTTTAGTACAATAATGATACTAGATAGTACTCGTTATATTAGGGAAAGTACGAAAAGAGCGGATGATTTATGTATCAAAATGTGATGAATGAAATCCAAGGGAAAAATAATTTCATATGTTAATTCATATATATATTTTAAATATTGTACTTTGGATAATAATAAACAAAATATATTTATACGATTTCTCTAGAAGAATTTGATTTTCGTGGCATAGAATTAAGTTTTTTCGCTCAAAACATTAAAAGCGGTTACATTTACTAATAAATTTTTTTTTTTTTCCAAAAAAAAAAATTATCAAATTAATTCGTAAATTTTAACTATTGTAATAGCGCCCCAAACTTAAACTTAATTTACGACCTTTCAACTTCAACTACCAGATTCTTTGAATTTTTTTGACTAATTATTTAAAAATTAAAACTTTCAATTTTGATAAAAAAAATTTCCTAAAACTAATTCATCACATCTAATAATTACGACTCTTTGCCTAAACTCATTATTTTAATGCATTATAATCCTTTAGAGTATGAATTTTTAACCTCAAGTTCCCTAATTCGTTTTTTTTTAATCTCTTCGATCGTCAATGATTCATATACTCTAAATATTCCGTTCCATTTGATTGCATTTGACTAGCATCTCTTCAATTTAAAATTCAAATATTTTTTTTGAAGAATTTAGCGATAATTCAATAATGTTGTTGGGAAAAATGATGGCTGAGTTAAGAAGTGCCGAATTAATTAATTTAAAAGAATAAAAGACAAGGTTTTATTAATAAAAATACAAAGAATCCAACTATTACTTCCTCAGGCGACGCTTTGTAATAGGTCTTAAGAGAAGAGATTCCTTCTTTCTAAACATAAAGCGAAACAAAGTATTTGTATCAGATTTTAGTTGACCAAATACTTATCCAAAGATAATTTATAATAATTTGATCAAGTTTTAGAATTTAAGAATTAGATTATACTTGATTAATCATGAAAGAAATAAAGTTTTTTTCTTTTTATTCGCTAAAACATCTCAATTTTGATACAAAAATAATAGTAGATTAAAGTTTCTAAAAACATTTAACTAAAAAAAAAAAATCGTATAACCAATTTGTTTTTCAAAGGAATCATTATTAATGAAAATACAAATAATTAATTCAATAATTATAGATTTCTAGTCATCTTAAATTTGAAATATGACCTATACTTCTCTTTAAAATTAAAATTCAATAGCAAAATATTACAACATAACCAAAAATAATTATGTTATTATAATTATTAATAATAAATATGTAATTACATCAAATTACGTTAGTCATAATTCAAAAAAATTAATTTTAGATCAAAGTATAATCTGAACTTAACAAGTAATATGCCCTAACCTAATCATAAATTTGTATTTAAAAATCCTACTTAATCCAATCTAAACTTAATAATAAAATTTAACTTAATCTAATATAATTAATGCTTTAAACAGTTTAATTCAATTTGGATATAAGCCAATCTAAATCAAAACTTAAATTTTAGTTTAGTTTCAATTAAGATTCTAAATCCTAAATATCAATTTGATTCTAAACTGAATTATATACTATTTAGATCCTAATCTAAACTAAAAATTTTAGATTAATCTAAAAATTTGATTCAATTATATCTTTATGAAATAATAATTTCAATCATTTAATTGAATGATATATTTATCATTCAATTAAAATGATATTTTGATTATTTTGATAAATAATCCTTTTATTATTCAATTAAATAATAAGTTGAATCATTTTAATCAAATAATTCTTTATCATTCAATTAAAATGATTAAAATTATTATTTCAATCATATTTTTATTATTCACTTGAAACAAACCAATAAAATTTTTAGATTAATCGAAATTGAAAATCTTTAAATTAGTCTAAACTGTTAAAAGCTTTAAATATAATTAATATATACTATATAATAATATTTATGTTTCTAATTTTTATTAAAATAAAAACTAAAAATTATTAAAATGCATTATATAAATATAAAATACTATTTATTATTTAGAATAAAGTGTAGAATAATTTATTATAAAATTATACTGTAATAAAAAGATATTAATTTAAAAGATTAGCTAATATAATATGATACACATGATAAGAACTCACATTAATTACATCATGTTAGACAATAAATATGATAAAATTGAAAGAAATGAATTAAAGAAAAGTTACTTAAGAAACTTAAAAGACATCAGAAATATCTTTATATTATTAATCATTTATTATTTGTAATCAATTAGTATTTTATTTATTTATATTAGTAAATTTAATATAAATAGGATAGCTTTAGAACTTAATTAGAAACAGATAATTCACAATCAATTTATAAACAATTTTCTAAGACTTTTACAATAACTATTAGAATTTAATTAGTTTTTATCACCAACAAGATAAATATTAATAACTTATATATACTAACTAAGATTGCTAAATGAAATCTAAAGGTTTTGCAAGTCATTTAAATGGAAAAAGGTAAAATTTAGCGAAATTATAGTTTAGATATTTTAAATGAGTTTAGACAAGTAACTTTAATGCTAATAAATATAATTATACTAAATTCTTTATTTTTTAATAAAATTCTAATCATTCATTCTAAATATATGCTATCATTTGAAATAATATTTATTTGAAAATGCCTGTAGTATAAGGAAGATAGGAAAAAATATAATTTTGAGTAAATCACAATTAAAGTCATATGATAAAAATTTGTATAATCAAATTTATTTCTTGAAAATAGCCTTAATAATATATATTTTAAAAAATAAGATTTTTTTGATAAATTGGATCAGCAAATATAAAAATATCATTAAATCTCAAAATTTAATTGGTCAGTCTATCCCCTCCTTTGCTATAAGTATTACCATTTATAAACTTTTTAGAACTCTCTTTATAATATTAATTAAAGCTAAATTCTTTGTTTTTCAGTCATTAGTATTATAAGATAATAATATATAATTTTGTATTAGTTCTATAATTTCTTTTCTTTTATTTATATAATCATATTAATTTTCTTTTTTGACTTACTAATTTTGCTATTTTTTGTATTACTGATTAATAAAAAAAAATAATTTTAATAATCAAATTTTAAATTAAAATATTTATTAAAATTTACAATTAATAAGAAATGTTAGAATTCTGAAAATGACTCGCATAAACTCACATTATTGTGCATAATTGTAAATTTTAGTTATACATAATAAATAAGTACTTTAAATTAAAGGTATGTAGGATAATTTTGACTCAAAACTTGACTCAATTCGACTCATTAGGAATACTAAGAATTGTATTTTTATTTGTATTACCTATAAGTATTTACAAAATTTTTTTTATTATTTTTTTAATATAAAAAATTATAACTGTAATAGTACATTTATTTTAAATTTTGTAAAAATTCTATGCTAAATTTAGCTTAATATAAGTAAAGATATCAGAAATTAATTTATATAAAGGTTCTTCAACTAATTTTAAAATATCAGCTAAAAAATAATATAATTATGCTTCTATATACAGTAAAACTTAAATCTTAATATATCTAGTAAATAGAACTTTGAATAGCCATTCAAATAAAATAATTTTATAATACTAAGTATATTTTTTATAGATATATAATTATATTTTAGATGAGTAATAGAAGTTTTACTTAAATTTTTAATTGTTTCTGTAATTTTTTCATCATTATTTATTTTATAACTAACTTGTATATATTATTTAATAGTATGAGCTATTTAAAAAAAATAATTATTTATTAATTAATTTATAATTAGATCTTAAAATAATAATAAAAATTTAATTTATGAATTAAATCTATGTATAATAAAAGTCAACACTAGTTTAGCTTACTAGATTCAAAAAAATATTATTTACTAACATTGATATTATATCATTAATTTTAATTTAAAACAATAATCATTAATTCTAAATTATAATAATAATCAATATTATTAAAAAAAATTTTATTTACAGTCAACTTTTGATATAATAAACTCTTGATATAATGAATTTTTTGAACAAATATAATAAAAATATGCTTGTTATAGCAAATTAGCCAATCAAATCTTTTAAATTTTTCACTATAATCTTATAGTGAAGTTGAGATCTAAAACATTGAATTTGTTATAACAAGAATTGACTGTATTTTAGTTTTAGGTTTAATATTTCAAAAATTGTATCTAAAGATAATGCTATAAATCTAAACATCTTGTTTAATATCTGTATATTAAGTTATGGAAAATTATATTTTATAAAAACTAAAATAGTATAGAATATTTATTTATGTTTACTAAAGAAATTTTCTTATTTCAAAATATCTCTTTAATTGTTTATTTACAAATTTGTAGACAATTTTGTTTATAAATTAAAATTATTTTTAATTATTTTTAAATATTTTAAAATATATTATTAAAATATTAATATTTTTATAATAAATTTTATGATATTTTCTAAGTAAAAATTAAAAAAATTATAATTAACTAGTGATTTTTTAAAGATAAATACAGTAAATAAATAATTATTATTATAAAAATTAAAATTTTAAATTTATATATCTTGCTATCTATTAATCTCAAAAATATAAAAATACTATCATTTAATAAGCCTTAATAAAATAAATCCAATAAATTGAATTTTATTTTTAAAAATTAATAAATATTAATAATATTAATATTAAAAATTTAAAAATATTATTAATAAATTTATTTTAATATATCAAATCTAAAATCTTTATTTTATTTTTTATAATCATTAGATGCAAAATATTTAGTTTGCTAAAATATTTTATAAATAATTTTATATTTACAATTTAAGAAATAAAAATAAAAATTAATAAAA